TCCGGACCTTTGGCCTGGAAGCCTTTGTAAAGCTCCCAGATTTCGGGCCACTTCTGTGCGTTCATGCCCGTGATGGTGGAGCTGTACGAGGGCTTGCGACCACCGCGAGTGCAAAAGCCGATGTTGGCATCATTCCAGTGGTCGTACGTAGTGATAGCGCTGGACTCAGAAATGGGACCAATGTCGTAAAAGGGGGCGAAGGCCTCGCGTCCTGTTTCATTCGTGCCTTTACGAAGCAACCCAGTGACGAGGATAGAGGGCTCGTTGAGTGGTTCCCCGCTAGAGGTCAGTACAAGGTACACTCGCTGTTGAGGCGTAAGAGGAAGATCTTCAACCGCTTGCGCAACCTGCTTGAGCTTGTCGGGTGAAAAGAAAAGGTTGTTGATGTATGCTGTGCGATCCTCTTTAGTGGCGGGCATTGCCTTGACGGTTGCTGAAACGACGATTCCGAAATTGGGACCTGCCCCCCGAAGTGCCCAGAACAGTTCCGGATGCGACGTGGCTGATGCGGTAAGTATTTCGCCTGATGCAATGACCACTCGCATGGAGATGATGTTGTCTACTCCGAATCCGACCTCGCCCATGAGATTGCCATAACCGCCACCGAGCATCGCACCCAGAGCGCCAACGCAGTTACAGTTTCCGGTGATGATCAATGCACCTGCAGTATTCGCTGCTGCAATCGTGTCTCCGATGCTTGCACCGCCACCGATAGTGGCGGTCTTCTTGTCTGTAGCAACGACGACTTTGTTGAGATTGGCAAGGTCGATGAGGACACCCCATTTCCCCAACTTGAAAGTCTTTCCCCATCCGATGCCGCCATTCTGTGCAAGGAACGGTATCCCAGTTTTCGTACAGTATTTGACCTTTTCGTTGGATTAGCATCGACGATCCGTTGTACCGGCAATTTGGTTGAGGCTGAACCTACTATCTTTGCTACATCCTTGTCATTTTGCACGCGGACGACCACAGATGGAAGGGGGGCGTTGTAATCACTCCAACGTGCTCGAACCTCGACGTTGACCGAAGATGGCGACGACACCAAAGTCTCCAGATCCTTGGCGACATCAGTCTGTCGTACAGCAAGTGCAGAGACCGCCGCGGCAAAAGAAACCAGTAATGATAAGACCCTCATATTAACAGTACCAAGCGAATGGGCAACGGCCCAACGTGCTTTTTAATTGACATCAAACTTTCTCGGCTACCTGCATGGTGGCATAGAATGCCCGGACCACAAGTCGTCAGGGCGAGGGATTTGTCGTCCCGGTGGAAACTCTAGTCGACAAACGGGATGCAGCCAGCGTCCCTGCATGCTAAATCCGCGCTGGGTTAGGTATAGTCACCGACGCGGTTATCTGCCGTACTCGTTCGCAATCGACCCGGTTACCGCGGGCGCAGCCGCATTCGGTTATATGTCCTCCGACGGCCCCGGACCCGTGCGTTACCCTAAAGCACCCCAGCACAATGTCTCCACACATGACTTTCGCAAGAGTTCAGCGAGCCATGTTGAGAGCATGACGTGGGCCGTGTTCCTTTAGGCGGTTCCATCCTTGCGCACGTGGGTTGGATTCCAGGTAACATTGAACCACCATCGAAAGATTCGGAAGGTGACAGCGCTGCGGAAACAGGGTGTCTGTGAAGTGCTGTCGGTGGTATGCAAGATATATTTCGCCGATGAACTTGGCACTCGGCAGTATTTTGCGAGAAGGATGCCAATCCAATCAAAAAATAATGCATATGCTACGCCAATAGCCTGGAGACAACCTTGAGCAACCAGTTCCGAGACATATACCGAGCGGAGTATTGTAGGATTCGCGGTTCAATATGCTAACACCGGCGCTTCTTGTTTGCACCGAGGTAGACGCCCTTTGTGGGAACACATTCATCCCAACGTTTGGTGAATCGTGATTTCCTTCGTGATACCGCGCTTGCCTAGTGTTGAGGCGTCTTCGGGAGGCGTAGAAGGAGCTTCAGACCGCGCCGTCAGCTCTGCGTAGCATTAGTGGGACACTTTACGGGACGCCATGCATTACGTACCGATCTCGTCAATCTCCTGGTATGGCTTGCGTACCAGCTTGCCGCCAAACGTTGTACTTTTCGTGATGCCGTTCAGCGCGGATGAGCCAAAACCGTGACCTGATGATCCGTATCCGTAGCTCGAACCAGTCTGTGTTGCTTCGCGAGGGTAGAAGTAAAACCAAATGGGCCGGAGCGTGGGCAAGCAGGCGCACACAACACCCAAAGATAGTTCAATGTTAGTCCAAAAGAACACCGGTGCTGTGTAATAAATGACGTCATCGGGATGCTTCAGGTATTCGCCGGCGATCGAGTAAGTCGCCACAACCCGTGTGATGCTGACAGCACATACTCTGTACGACTCAGTTGTCTTGAACACAATGACGTACGAGACGAAATAAGACTTACGCAGCTCCGAGTGAAAGCATTACGATTACAGCTAGCTTCTTCTTGGCCTCCATTCTGACACTCAAAACCATCGGGATAGGAAGAATAAGGATGACAATGTCTGCGAAGACACCCGTGTACTGGTAACATGGTCAGCCTGAATCGAAATCATTATGCTGAGTGAAAGACAGTAGCTTACAAGTAGGGCCAAAAACATTGGCACGGTTTCGACACAGCTATTCCCATAGTACGGTTCAATAAATACCGTTATGGGGTAACAAGTGAATAGATGCGAGAATGTGAAGCTGACGGTCCAGCATACGACATACGCAAGCACGCAGTATACGACGATGCGAAACTTTCGTACGTCAAAGATGTTCTTGTATAACACCAAAATCGACGATTTGACAAGACCTAGTCCGATGATGGAGATCATGTTTAGAGCAAACTTTGTCTAGAGAAGTTAGCAATTGCACTGCCATCAGCAGCTAGACCTACTTACTTGTTCAAAGAATATCAATCCGGGATCGTCCATGATGGGCTGGCCTTTTTCATCCAGTGGTTGATGAGACCCCAAGTAGCCGTGTATCGCAGCTATCAATTGGCGTAAGTTTGCAACATGCCTTCCAATCGAATCACTTACTAGCTAACTGTAAGGAGCAGCAAGCCATAGACACAGCCTATGAACGCTCGGTCAGAGAATGAAACATATACTGAACCGCTCAAAGTTCTCTTACCAAAGCAGCAACCGTGAGAAAGTCGTCCCAACCAACGCGCTTAGCGATCCTTTTTGCCCATAAACGCAAACAAACGAAGACGAATGGCAGTACCATGAAAGCCACGGCCAGGGCGACCATCATACTTTTGGAGTAGTTGTGATACATTTTGACTGTCGCTCCAGAGTACTGTTGGTACAAAAGACTTGTAAATAGCCGGACGGTCAACAAATACTTCGCATTGATGCAGACAGGCGAAATATAGGCTGCACCAAGCAACACTGAGCCTCAGGTCCTCTCTCCTCATTTGGCCGACATATCGACAGCGTACCACATCCTAGGGACCCCATGGCTTGCTTGTCACATGTAACCTGCGACCCAACCATAACCATCCTTTGAGCTTGACAGGTCTCCAGTAAACGCCCTGTAGGTATCACAGCACCGAGGGTGCCACGCTTGGTCTGTCCCGAGACTGACCAGGATGAAGTAAGGCTGAGAGATTGCAATCACACATCTCTTGACTCTGAAAATCACCCGAAAGTCCCCAGGACTATGACATCCCAGTGCTATGAGCATTTTCGCACGGGTCGGACCAGCGTAGCTTTTGGCCTGTACGTCGGTGCGTCCCAATACGTCAACCTGGGATATGCAGTGCCCACAGCTTCAGCTGAGATTTGTGCTCCTGGCATGCCACCATGTTGAAGACAGACTCACACACGATGGATGCCCAGCTATCAACTCCAAGGCCGTCGAAGTGTCTAGCTATCCCAGTAGTAGACCAGTAAACCGGCAAACCTGTATTGTTGTTCTCATGAAGCCGAGAGCCGTGGGGGTGTAGCTGGGGTGTTCCAGACAGGGGTTCGCCGCTCGGGTGAACCTTTCAGGACGGCAGAAGCCGCACTGCTAAGCCACGGGACGTGCAATGACCCGCTATTATAAGACAGCCTCGGCCAGAACCCATGCGAACTAAAGCTGCGCCGATTTCTCATCTTCCGGTCGATGCGACGTTCTACAGACGCCAGCAGTAAAGAGGTTGTAGGTCCTGGAGGCTCTTACGGCTTCGTCGTCTCAGAATAGGCATCTCGCTGCATCGCGTGCACGAATTTGCTTCTGCGGCTTCGAGTCGTCGATGTGGATGGAGGCTTACTTCCGATAATCGTGCATGCGAGTCTTATCACGTAGGATTTGGACCAAAATCACTGACACCGAGGTGTGGCCGCTGTATAAACTCGCCTACAAGGATGGAATATTAAATGGTACCGTCTTCGACAACATGCGTGAAGGTCCTAGTGTGGAACGGGACTGATACTGAGTTTGACGTCGGCAAGCTTCTTGAATAACCGGAACGATATCTCTGCCGTGTTTGGTCAACTTTCCGTGCGCCTGTCGTGGCCCATTGACGCGTTCTGAGCAGCCAGCTCAGCCAGTCCTAGGATGATCGCACGGCGTCTGCGTGCTCGACATGTTGTACCATCTCTCAAACGGCACTAATTTTGGCGTAGGAAGCGATTGTGACACTTGGTTGCTTCTTCGTGATCAATGGTGTATGACGCGTACTGAGGAACGGTGGAAATGTATGCGTCACCCGGTTGGCCCCAGCATCGTCGCTGACAATGTTTTTCATACATGGCTCGCAAAAACGTGGGGTTTCTGAAACTGGCAGCGGTAGGCCATCCATTTGGATGTGGAGGAGTTGCTGAGGCTTGCGGTGTCTTTTGGGAGTTCTTAGGCCATTTGGCCCAAACAAGGTGATTTAGCGCGGGCATTACGTCATTGTAATCAATCCACGATAATGCCACCTAACACGACTTCCATTTGCAGACGGTTCTCAGTGCACATGCGAATCGCTCTAAATCGTACATTATCCTTTTGTCCTGACGCCTAAGCCCACGAAAAGTGTTCCATGTGCAGATACACATCCCGTTTCCCATCCTTCATGCCACCGATCTGCGCATGAGCAACAGCGTTCGACACATCGCTCTGCATACTCAGCGGGCCGCATACCAGTACAGACGTACTTTCACTTCCGTACTCTGCTGCGTCGGCGATTATAGCTGGAAGGTCCGGTCGTTGCGATACATGCTTCGGGGTGAGCGCAGTCTGGATGGTGTTTGATGCGGCTTCCTCTGAGGGACGTACATCTGTCGACAATGCTTTCGTCCCTGAGCCAACACTCTCATTCGAAACTTTGGACTTCTCTTCTAATTTACTCGGGCCTCCGATTGCACTATTAAGCTCCTCCTCACCGGTGTAGTAGATGTCCACGCTCAATTCATCACAGCGACATCCGCTCAGCTTGTTCGCTACTAGCTCCAAGACGGCCTGCTCGAACCAATTCCTGGTCAGCGAATCTCTTGTCGCTAGTATCACTCTCATAGCAGCTTTCCTGTTGATATCTCCGTCGCCGTCGCGATACGGGTCTGTTGGGCGTACTGCAGCCTGTTGCTCATCCTGCCGCAGGAACGCTTCAATTAGCGGCAAAAGCCAGCCAGCACCAGATCCACCAGCGATGGCCACAACGCTTTGGCTTGCCGCAACCCTCCTCATGTCTATGCCACTATAAGGGCCATCGAGTAACACCTTCAGGCTTGACTTAGGATGTTGCTGAGCGTGCCTCGCCAAGCGTGCTGTAAAACCTCCCTGCGGTCGAATATAGAAGACGAGTTCGTTCGTGCAAGAGCGAGTCGCTTCCGGAAGAGAGCATGCCGTAAAAGGGTGTGTTGTCATTCCGTGTACACCTAGGCCAAAGACTCTGATGAAGTAATGTTGACCCGCTTTCCAGCCGCCGTTCATCGGAATCGCAATCTTGACGAAGTCGTTCGATACTTTGCTGACCGCAGCCGTTTTGATGCCGTACTGAAAAAAGATGCGTATGTGGCTATGGAGCCAACATGCTGTATAGACGACGCCTGTTGCGATGAAATAATCCCAGGACGACAACCGAAAGTCGCAGTGGAGAAAGAAGAACAAGACGAACACCAGGGCCGCGATGAAATGAGTTGCTTTGAAGAACTCATAGCTGACATTCCGAAGGTAGGAGTTGGAAGCGAATGTCAGCCAGGCCTGGACGATCATCAGCTTTCCTCTGGGCATAGTCTATATTCCATAGGAAAGACGGGTTTGGTCACGAACCTGCGCAATGAGAGCGACAACACCGGTCCAATAGCATACGTCCGTATGCCACTCGCTCTCCATAGTGCCTTTCCATACATTGAACACAATGAAGGGGAATGTATGTATCAAAGCAAGCACAAAGCATGCATAGCTGATCCATCGATGGAACAACTGCAGTTTCTCATGCGATACTCCCGTCAACATTGTAATCATATTACTTTTCGTCGACGTCGCCATGATAAAGGGTAGGCAAGCGAGCGACATCCATCCTGATCTTGTGGCGATCGGTGGTGAGCCTCCGAATGAGATCGGCGGGCTCTTCTGGTTGGGCCAATAGTAGGGTCGCGGACCGAGTGTCATACAGACGAAGAAGACCGTGCCTATCGCCCCAAGTATGAGAATGCCGAGTGGTGCGGAGTTCCAGTTCAAAGGCCGGATGCGATATGAACGGTAGGCGAGGTAGCGAAGGATGGCAAGCAGTTGTCGCACAGCCTTGATCTTCGGGGGAGGTTTTCGTACGAGCTTCGAGGTGAGAAAGGGGATGGCAAAGAGAACGATGGTCGCCATGAAGAATGCGAGTGTTGGAAGCGCATACCTGTGGTCGGCTTCGTACCAAAATCTCCAGTACCCTTGCTGCCACTTACAAAGCGTGTCGCTTTTGAGACTGCAGGTGTACTTTCGAGAGGAATGCAGCATAACAGGTTGCGTAAGCCATGGCGTACCCTCACTGTGCATAGAATGCATCGACATCATGGTCCAAATTTCGCGTTGTTCGTTCGTGAAGTGGTAGCTTGTTCTAGTCTCAAGGTCGCCAGTCCGACAGCCGGTCAAGGGTAGCGGTGTTTATGACTTTAAGGATACAATGTAAGCCCAATTTCTTTCGTTACCTGCTTTGCTTGTGACCCACGTGTCTATGTGTTATATAGAAGTCAGAACGCGGCAGTGGGGCCTATGAGCAGTCAGAATAGTGTACTTCCGGGTGCTCAATCGCAGGAATTTGCTCATATTGCTGTATGCGAGAGTAAACTCATCATCTATGGATGTGTTTCCGGCAGCGGGAATAAGAGATGCAGCTCGTGGCTGACTCCCGAGGCGCACCGACGTTGTTGTTGCCCGGTTAAAGGAAGGGTTGACACACGCTACTGGTATCACTGAGCAAGTTTGCGGTCTTTGTGATTGGCGAAATTGTCCAGCGCATATGAGGTGACGGGATACTGGTAATTATGCCGCTCAGGATACGTGATGAGTTTTCAACTTCGCAAACGGTTCGTTATTTGTTCTAGTCAGATTCGCGACTCCTGTGCGCCTTGAGAGTAGTTACACAAAGCTTCGCGTTAAATGTCTACATACGGGCTGTGAAAAGGAGTGGCACGAGGTACATCAAGGCCACGACACCTCTTCAAGCTCTTGTAACGCTTCCCAACTTTTCCATGAATGCCGCTTCGATCGGGGCTAGTTGAGAGCGCGTCGCAGTAATGCTCGCCATAAGGTAGATGACATTACCCAGTATGCGCGAATGAATCTGTACCTGTGATTCAGAAACATCGTGGAGTAAAGAATCGCGAAGGCCGATCGCTGCAGAAGAAGTGTAGCCTAGGTCACATTAATTAAGAAGCTTGGAGGAGAAAAGATCGACATACCAGAGCCGCCTTCATCAATGAGCGATACGGCCAGCACTGAGCCCAGCGCGTTTACATACTCAACCCTCTCATGATTTGAGACGCTCCCCACGAAGGAGTCGGACCACATACTCCACACACGATTGCCGCTGTCATGGCTTACCATCTTGTCCTCGTTCTCGGCCAAGTTCCGCTCATGGCCCAAGTTCAATTTCTCCATGATATCCAGACTTGTGTTTGCAACGTGGCATCCGACTGCATGAGCGGTATAGCTATGTCCATGCAGGAGAGCTTCCGATTTCTCGTCGCCCAAGAAAGCCTCGAAGATGGATTGGCTGGCGCTAGTAATCGAAAGCGGAAGCAAACCTCCCGTAAGCAACTTCGCATTCACGCTTATGTCCGGGTGGATATCAAGGAATGAGGCCGCAGAGAAGCGGCCCAGACGGTACAAACCGGTGAACACCTCGTCAAACATGACAGGAAGACCAGACCAAGCATTCTCGTCCTTCGGAGATTCGGTAACCCTGGAGCCGTTTGCAAAGTCGTAATGACGGACGACGCGTACTAAGCTTTGCTGGAAGAGCGGGTCCACAAACAGCATACCTCCGGCTCCGAGGACGACAGGCTCTAGTACCAAGGCACCGAACTTCTTGCCTTGCTCCTTGACCAGCTCGTCTAGTGTTTTCTCTATGTAGGCCTCGTACTGCACCGATCTACCCCTGGTAGCGAAATCGAATATGCCGTCTTGACTCTCAAAGTTCTGAGCTGGACCCAATTCTTCTTCCATGCCCTTGGGCGGTTCAACTACCCATTGGCCATTCTTGAGCTTGAAGGTCGGGTAGTCAAACCAGAAGCCGCGGCCGCGATACCAGTCGACTTTCTCGTTGAAGACACAAGGTTCAGAGGCATCCATGGCCCCGATCGTGTCTCCGTGGTAGCTGCCTTTGAGTCCAAGGACACCAACGGCCTCTGTTGCGCTATCCCAGCCATAGCGCTTACTAGACGCACGAAGCGCCATCTTGATACCGACCTCTGTCGCTGTGCTCCCATTGTCTGTGTAAAACACTTTCCTCAAACGGGTTCTCTGTGGCGAGCCCGAAAGTATCTTCTCCGCTAGAGTGAGAGCTGGTTCGTGTGTGGCGCCGGCGAACATGACGTGACCATAACGCCCTGCTGCATATGCTGCTTCCAGTGCTAATCGCGGATTACCGTGTCCAAGTCCTTGCGTCCACCATGACGCGGAGCCGTCAAATGCAGGATACAAGGTTTGGTTCTCAGGATGGGGTACCTCTTCATTGCCCTTGTGCTTGACCTGGAAGAAGTCGCCATATGCCGAATCGATGACTAGTATGTCGTTCGCGTTCTTCACATGCTTGTGTTGTGTGAAAGGATGCCAAATCTTGTCCTCTGTTTCATACGGCATAGATCCTAGGCGGCTGAGTCGCTGGTCGTGGCGATGGATCAGCTCCTCAGCGATCGTTCCTACCGATGCGCTGTCGCTTTCTGTACTGTAGTAATCTTGCATAATTTCCGTCTCTTCTTTCGTACCTGGTGCAACGCCCTGGAGGTTCGGAATCCATTGTAGTTTGTAAGCTGGTATACCCATATCCATGAAATACTTCTTTAAGTAATCTGCGTTCTCATACTGGCTCTTATCGTCGAAACACACAACAGCATCGATATCATATCCTCGCATGATCAGGGATTCTGCAGCTGATATGGTAGAAGCGATACCACCTAACCGATGGTCGCCTACGAGCACCGCAGGAAGTCGTAGTGGTCGAAAGATATCCGCCTGTGGCGTGCCGGAAGGTCCTGGGCTCAGAACTCCTCCAGCTGTCTCAATTATCGAAAAAAGTCTGCCCTGATCCAATGCGCCGGCAGCTTTCTGGACAGTCTTGAACACCGTTTGGCTGATGAGCTCATCGCTGGGCTTTGCTGGTCAATTACTATTGGCAAAAGCACAACAATAAAGGAAGAACTCACAATGTGTTTGAAACCTCTTGCCGCAACATGCGGGCTCACGGCTTTGTCGAATTTGAAAAGTGTGGAAACACGCTGGCCAGTGTACTTGTGCACATAGCTAGCGTACAGTCAGCCCTTGTGTCCCAAATATCTGTCGGATCACGCAGCACTACACTGACCTATCGTCGGCTTCATCAGCTGGGCCTGTAGATACAGGCTTTACGTATTGTACTTTGTAAGGCCCGTGGCGTAATGGCGATGTCCTGCTCTTGAGGCTTGCCCTACCGAAATGTGCACCCAGGAGCGTCGAGAACACTGTTTTGCCAACTCCCGTGTTGGCACCATAGACCTGAACAGCAATCGCGTTCTTCCACAACCCTCCTGGCACCTTCGCCATTTCTTTTGTACCTCCAGTTAGTGGTGAGTTGAGGAAGGTGCTATGGTAGATGGCTGCACCTGCATGCTGTCCAATGCGGAGAGTGCGCTAGTGGTTCCGCGTCCACACCGACGCTAAACATGCAGGTACAAATGTAATGAGTCAAGCCGCATCTCCGACGGCATCGAGGGGTCAGCTTATGCGGTCTTTTAGCTAATGAGTATGAAATTACTTTTGACAGCTTTCGACGACGCGGATAGCCACGGCAGACCCCACGCTTCCTTCCCGCTTTCCGCTGATCCTACCACGCCAGCCATTTGGTCAGCTCCACACCATCACTGAAGGTCACGTTATCGTGGGTCAAAGACGTCCGTGATTTCAGCTTCTACAGAAAGATATGGGGAGCAAAACGCATTCGAAGCCGTTGCAAAACAAGCTACAAGAACTACTCGATCGCCGACGGACAAACGCAA